GTGTGTGTGTGTGTGTGTGTGTGTGTGTGTGTGTGTGTGTGTGTGTGCGCTCATAGCGGGATGATCAACAGATTACACACCACCTTCATAGTATGTCAAACGCTATGGACAGCAGTCTGCCCTTTGACCTGTGATGTTGGATGTTGCAGTAACTGTTAGTGATGCTGCCGAGAACAACATCGATTTTAAAGTGCGGTGAATGAAATTATGTTGTTTTCAGTCCAGCGATTGACGACTGTAAATAAGTCCGACTGATGCTTAGCTCCAGGTACTGGTGCGCTGTCTGTGTGGCAACATAGGAAATACACGAGTCATGGTTCTTTATTGAGGATAAACCAACTTTAATTCGATCCAGGGGACTTTCTCCAGGTCTGTTGTGCAGCCACAGGGACTAATGGGCAGAGTCTCTCTAAGAGCTCCGTTGTTATTGAGCCCGGCAGTGAACACTGGTAACTATTCGTCTGCTGAATAATGGATAAACTCAACAGCTTTTTCACTGGGAGCGATTCTCTCGCATGCATGGGTCCTGTCTTCACGATGACAGCTGGGCCTCTCGCCTCCACGGGGGCCAAGCGGGATGAGGCTGTCAGGGAGAGGGAGGGAGGGAGAGGAGGGGGGAGGGGGGGGGGGGGGGAGAGAGGGAGAGCGAGAGAGACCGACCCCCCATCACACCCGGAGCGTGTAACTAATGGCTGTACGTCGTAGTGGGTTACCTTTGGTTGGCACCTGCCGTGAATAAAACCACAGTGCATACATGTAAAGTGATGGTGTAAGTGTAGTTACTCTGTTTTCTCCGTCTATTGAAGGCAGCGGGTCATTTTTCATTTTTGTGCAGACCATCACTCCTTTGATCACCAAATAATAACTCCCAGCTGTCGCAAGACAGGCCGATGTTTTTAAAAAGTTTTACGATCGCAGAATCGTCCGTTTCCTTTTCCACGCTGTCATTAGTCGTGTTCCAACCTGCTGTGTGTTTTTTGCTTCACATTTGGATGGATGACACTCTTGCTACATCCACATTGTGTGCTCGAGCATGTGTGTCAGCGCTGTAATCCATCAGTGTAACACATGAAAGAGATGAAGTCCACCTTGCCTTTCGGGCGTTTTTCTTTTTTTCCTTATGATGAGTCACAGGTCAAGCTGTTTAAAGAAACCAGCTAATCTAGTGTTGTCTCAGCGTGTATAATAGTCACACAAGGAATCCGCCATGTTCTTTCATTAGCACTGAGGTCAGACTTACTTAATAACTAAGACGGGGTCACTACCTCTGAGTGGGGGTCCTCCTGACCATTAACGATAATTAGGAGGACTTCCAGCTGCGTGTCACTTGGGGCAGTTGAGCTGCTGTGGTCGCAGCACCTCTGTCCTCACCAGAGTGTCTCTGTTGAATGAAGGAAGGCGTTTTGCTGAATTTTTCCTTCAGTTGGTGTTTCTACATCAGCATGGACTCTTTCCTTCTGCAGCTTTTCCACATCAGTGATTCGTGCTCACATGCTCCACAGTCTCTAGACTCTTCCTCCTTGTCTGTTTGTCTCCTTTTATTTCATTTCATCTTTTTCTCTGTCTCATCCGAGATCTCCTCGTTCTGCAATTGTAACATTTTTATGATATTTCTCCACAACGTCTTAGCTCATATGTGCAATTAGAATAAATGAAGGACATGTGTTTAATTGGACCTTTTTGTGTAGATCACCATCATATCATTGAATATAAGGGGCAGCATCGGGACAGAAATAAGTCTACTTTGAGAATAAAGTTCCATATAATGATTTGTTTTGCCTCATGATGACAGTCTGTCCACCACTTTGGTGCAGACTGAAATATCTCAATAACTGGATGGATTGTCATGATGTTTAGTACATACTTTTATGATCAGGTTATCTATTCTCAGGTCACAATTTTGATTTGATTGAAGTATTGCTGGTATCTATGACGAGGATGGTGAACATGCTAAACATCAGTTGTCATTTTCAGTGTCACTTGAAGCTTTTTGCCAAGCTGATGTTAGTATTTAACTTAAAGAACCGCAATGCTGAAGGGAAGCTTCACGGAGCTGCTAGCATAGCCGTGACCTGTTGTTTTTTTACAACGTTCTCACCTTTTTCTTCTTTCTTTGTAAAAGGTACAACTGCATTCCAACACTATTATTGTTTATCAAATTACAACTTAATTCCTATAACATTATCATATTCTTTATTCTTGAAGTCTAAGTTGTACCCACAGTGGGCCTAATACTCCATTGCACCGTCACTGTGGAGTGCAAGTTCTTCATCTGTTTGTATTTGCTTTGGTCTCTTTAACTATTATGGAGCGGTTACCAGCTCATTTGCCCTTGCATTTTTGTCACATCCTCAATCACCTTATGTTATCATATACTGGACGCAGTCATGGCCTGCTGCACGATCACTGGCTGGACACCTTTCGCAGTAAGTGGGGAGGCTGAAGCACTCATGTTGACAGGGAAGAGGCGGTTATGGAAACTCATCTTAAAAGCCTGCGACTGAATTTACCATCTCCAGCACACACTGTTCACCTCAAGCACCTCTGAGTGCATACATATAGACTGCTTTGGCTGCGAGTCATGTTCAGGTTGCTGGTGGATTTCCAGAAACTTGCGTCTTGTCAGAAAACGCCTGAATTTTTCATGGTGTCATGGGATAGCGAGAGAGGTTTTTAGGGAGTGCGATGATAAAGCCGCTTTGGTATGCTGGGATGATAACATTGTGATAGTGAAGAGATAACATCTGGGTGTTAAGCCGACTAGTTTTGCAATTCTTCAACTCTTCTTCACTCGTTCTTCCTTTGTGTCTCCAGATCAAGAAGACGTCGGAGGCCACCCTGACCACGATCCAGGACATGGTGACCATTGAAGACTACGACGTGTCCGAGTGTTTCCATCACAGCCGATCAACGGAGTCGGTCAAGTCCACTGTGTCGGAGACGTACCTCAGCAAGCCCAGCATCGCCAAGAGGAGGGCCAACCAGCAGGAGACGGAGCAGTTCTACTTCATGGTGAGTGGAGATGTTGTCCAAGAGAAGAGGATGCTGGTGGTTACGAGTGAGCAAAAACAAAAGGAAAACAACTTCAGACATATCTTTTTGTTTCTGTATGAAAATAGGAATAAGTGTCTCTCAAAGACTCTCTTTGAAGGCTTGATTGGCTTTCTGTACTTGGACGTTTTCAAAGAAAAGAGAACTATGACATTTCCTCATCTGATTATATACTATGTTTATTGGTGACAAATTTCTGTAAAATGAATCTGAACTCGAAGCTTTTATCTGGACTTTAAAAAGCTAAATCTGTTCATGTAAATTCTGTTGGACTTAAAAGTCTGAATCTCATGCCGTAAGCCCCTTTGAAATCTTTGATCAGCTGGCAGAGTGGTAGGCTAACTGCTATCGTGTTCCAGTCTGAAGATGGACATGCTCTGATAAAAGCTTTAAAAAGACTCTCAGCGTGTCCTTTGCCCTTGGCTTTCTTATCGTAGATTGCTGTCTTAAGAGCGGGTGCTCTGGCTGGCACTCGGGGCCGCCGTGTAATTACTCTCAATTCTCCACAGAAATTCCGGGAGTTTCTGGAGGGCAGTAATCTCATCTCCAAACTGCAGGCCAAACATGACTTGCTGAAGAGGACACTTGGTGAAGGTACAGTAACGACCCCTTTACTTTGATACTCTTATATACTCTCATAGCCCCCACGGTTCCTCTCAATGTCAAACCCAGTTCCAGCCAAAGTGAGGGCGTATATTAGGCCGAATCAGAGTCCAAACAGCCAACAGAACCATAGATTTCTAATTTAATTTTGTCTTTTTATATTTTCAGCATTTTTCCCGCAGCAAATTTCCTATTGTTTGCCCGCTTTTCCCAATACTCAAAGCTCCTAGATGGCAATCTGGGTTTTAAACCAGGCGAGCCAGAGCTGGGGGGGGGGGGTTGTGAACATATCCATCTTAGTGATTGATTAGCTCCCAACTTAATGTACCGCCGTGCGTTAGAGGGGTGGTGGTCATTACAACGGTCTCTCCTTGTACTACATTGGAGTGATCTCCTCGAGGCCTCAGCTAATCCACCGTCAACCCAGAGAGTGTCAGTCAGTCATTGTTCTAAGCAGCATTCCTGGTGGTCCACTTAATGACTAATGGAGCCGTGTGCTAACGAGGAAGAGGAAAGCCTTTTGCTTCTCCCACATGCTCCTTAATCATATTGTCAATGAGCTGGACTACAGCATGACTCACTCAGACACACAGATCCTGTTCATGGGAACAGATGGCCACACAAAAAAACGTGTTCTCCCAAAAACATTTGGAAGCTATTATGTGCTTAATCTTACTGTGCCTCTCCAAACCTGTGTGTGTCTGTGTTCGTGTGTGTGTGTTCGTGTTCTATAATGATCGGTGTGTCTTTGTGACTACGTCAGTTGTAAACTGTCTGCCTAGCGGATGTTTGTTTGTATTGTAATTGTGATGTAGCGAAAGTGTTGCCTGCTTAAGTCGAGGTGTGTGTGTGTGTGTGTGTGTGTGTGTGTGTGTGTGTGTGTGTGTG